TTCATTGGATTGTATAGAGGCTATACTGAACGAATATGTAACATATCCTGTTTAGAGAACCCCTTGACCTTCAGTAATCGGGTCAGCGTAGTCCATATTGTGTCAAGTCAATCTCCTCCTGTAGCGGAATGAAGAATTGGGCGGAAGACATGTGTATTTTTGCTACGCTAACCTTTAGCCCAATAGATGTTCCGATCAAGTAAGGTGTACTAGTACTAGTACTATATATTTACGGCTGTCATGATTCAGAAATGACCTCCTGGGAAGGAGCAGCAATCGAGGATGATAAAACACAACCAACCAATCAATTGATCCTCTGATCTAATTCCTCTACCCTATACTGATGATACCTCCTTTATCCCCTACAAGCAATTAATAATCAAGCATTTATTTCCATCCATCAAAATTCCCTCTGATATAATTTAAACCCCCCAATACAACCCCCCTGAAAGAGTCCATCTGGATCATACTCTCCCCCTACCTTTCGCAAAAACTGCAAGTTCTTCTCACCATATCCCTCCAACGGTCGCTGCCATTTGTCGCAGTAGTTCAAGTAACGATAAGGATGACCAGTCCCGTTGGCCTTGGCCACTGCGTCGATCTTCTCGATGATCTGACGCGTCACTGACTCCACGTAGCTATCGTCATCCGCCGATGCCCAGGTGAAGGACAGGCTGACGATGACCAGAGGTGTATTTGTACTGTCGTGAATCCCTAGAATATTGGGGTCGCCTTTGGCGGTCCACGAAGGCAGCAGGGGCTGCATGAACAGGGTGAAGAATACCCCCTTCATCTTTCGCATGGAGCCCATGACCTCGTCGAAGACCTCGCGGGTGGCCAGGATGGTGGGTAGATCGTTGTGAATAGTGGTTGTGGCGAATGAGTTGCGCTGGCCGATGATATCGCGGTTGACATTTTCTTCGATGGCGGAGGTGGTTGTCCGGACAGAATGGGTGCTTCGGAACCGCCATAGGCGGGAGAATCCTGACTGCTGCCAGAAGAGCGGCCATTTGTTGGGCTGCTCCGGGGGCTTTGTGTAGGCTAATTGGAGGGTGATCACTCGTAAGCGCACGGCCTGGATGTATGTGTAGCAGGTGATAGGGGGTGCGGCGAAGAGGTCGGCCTCGTCGTCTGCTTGGTGTTGAACGCTGTTGTGGAATGCGCTCAGGGCTTTGGTGATCTCGAAGCCGGGGGCGATGACAGATCCGGTCCAGATTGGGGTGGATGGGAAGCAGCGCATGGTGAAGCGAGTGATGATACCGAAGTTGTTGGCGCCGCCTTTCAAGGCCGTCCAGAGATTGGGATGCGAGATGGCGGTGGTAGTGACGATCTCGCCAGAGGCCAGAACCACCTCGTAGGCGATAATGTTGGAGCAGGCTAGTCCGTACTGGGGGGTGTAGAAGGAGATGCCGCCTATGTTGGGTGGGATGTTAGCGAGGGGGATGTGTTGGATTTAGGTACTGTAGAGACCGTACCTCCCAAGGCAAACCCGGCCACGCCGAGGGGGGCGCTTCTGCCCCCGACTACCCCCAGATTCATTGGGTCCAGGACACGCAGCACATCCACCCAGACACATCCCGCCCCAATGGTGACACTCTGCCGGTCTTCCGCGACAGCTACTTCGCGTAGGTGGGTGAGGTCAATCAGCACGCCCCCGCGGGCAGTGGCACTGCTTGCGGCCGGAGCTTGGCCACCGCCACGCACGGCGAAGAGCACATTGTCGGTGTCATGGTGGGAAGAGGGTGATTGCTGGTCGTATCCTTCCTTGATGATACGAACGGCGGTAGCCACTTCACCTGCGGTGCGCGGTTGGACAATGGCGGCTTGCACGACGTCGCGCGCCTGGCCGGAGAAGTAGGTGTTGATAGATTGGCGGAAGTATTCGGCATCGTGATGGAGCAGTAGCACCCTCCTGGGTAGGGCGGCCTCGAGTTTCTGGCTCAGAGGATGGAGCACCTGGAGAGGACTATCGCTGGTATCCGTCACTTGCAGTGGTGGGTTGCTGGTCTTGCGCATCAACCAGACCCCCATGAGGAGGGCGGTTGCAATCCCCACGGAGGGCAGCAGAGAAGCCATGGTGAGTTGGGCGAGTTGAATTGTCACGGGGCGACGCGGTCATCGGTGCTTTATACCTCTTGAGCGTATTAGGACGTCGCAGCTTGATCAACCAGATGCAGGGCCTGGGGAGTACTGCTAAGCAGTAGGGCGCAGTGGACAGCCAGCGATTGGTGAGTTCGTCTGTCTGAGGTCAGCACTAGTAGGCACCAGTCCATTCCCTGCAATGCCCTCTTGATCCCAAATCATTTAATTGATCCAAAAACAATTTGATAATTGGCATCATAACTTGGATGATTCTTTGACATGTCAATAGAAGTAATATTGCAATCATCTCAAGCTAGAGGCCATGGAAGAATAAAATACCTGCCCAGTGAGTGGTTCGCAAGGAACAGCCGCACACTGGCCAATTAGAAGCTCTGAAACATGTCAACCCTGGGTAGTACAGCCAATCGGACAGCCGTAATTTGGCGCCTTGTAAAGCTGTAATTTGATGTATAACAATTGACCTGGAAGACCCTAGCATCCGTCTTTCTCCACCCCAGAGATATTAGCGGAGATACAAGCTTTGCTCTTAAGTCTCTAAATGACCCAATAACAATACTTTAGATGGCTATCACACCTACTGAAGCGCCAAGGACAAAAACGGAAATCAGTCATCACATTGAGTATGCCAAACATTACTTGCCTATGATGCCCTAGATATTGTATCACTTCATCCGAATTTGCTGGACAAGTTGGCAAGGCTGCAGCTCTGGGTAAGACCACGTACAACTGGCTAGGCATTTGATTCATCTCGCACCACCACCCCTTCCTGCAGGTCAAAGCCTTACCCGATCGCATAATTGTTACACACCACCCCCAGACAATATCCTGCGGTTCATACACCTCTCACACCATTCATGGACAGTCAGAAGGGGTACTACGTGAGCCTCCACGGCTTGTAGGGTGTTTGAACCTGGACTTAACTTGACCACTTCGAGTCAGTCGGGTTATGGTTCATATATTTGACTATTATTAAGCAGTTTGTTCTATATAGAAGTCTGAAATGAACATAGATTAGTATATGAAGCGACTCTTAAAATATTATCTGAAGCATCTTACAAAAGGCTTCACGCAGAATCTTAGGGATGTATACAGGATTTTATCTACAGTCTTAATTAGAACCTCACGTCGAATAATGGCTGCTAGAATAATAATCTATAGACTAAAGCATTTATTCTTGAAGCCTAGAATATAGAAGACTGCCTCAGGCATATATGCGGTGAACATTCTGCCACCTATAAAAGTACATCTTGCCTGACATGGTAGGCGGAGTAGGCAGAAAGTTGTGGCACGCTGGGTAGCCTCGCCGGTGTTTAGCCTATAACTACCATTACTGAGGCAGGTCTTCACCGCCTGTTTCATTTAGTTTAGCCCTTTTCTGCCAACAAATGTAACTGTTCTGTGTTACCGTTAAAGTTATTTACTTATTCTGACCTCACTTGACTGTCTCAATTTTACAGGCCTGCTTGGCGTGACATCTCCTTTCAGTATGCGTCTCATACTCCCGTGAAAAGAGGAAAAGAAACCAGTCATCTTGTCTGACTAGGGTGATAGCTCTATATCAGTCTCCGATCGAGTCCTGGTGGGAAATGAGAAGGACTCTTCTTGGGACATTCTTCACTATTATAGTATGGGGATGACACGACTGGTGCCACTCCGTCAGACTCATTACTAGCTGCATAGTGGGTGGCATTAGACCTCAGGAGACGGATTCCCCTTCGCCTCAGCGCACCTCTAGGGACCATAAGCTAGTAAAGTAGGTGCACTCGCTGTTTCAATCTGACATAGAGCCTTTTCGATACCAACGCAATAGGTTTTATTCGTTGAATACAACTCAAAAAAGTAACAAAAAATGTAGTGACAAGGATGGGATTCGAACCCACGCTCTTTCGAATTGGTGATTTGGTAGCTATACCTAACTGGATGGGATGTCAGTACTTGTTATCGAGGAGACAATATGATTGGTCGGGAAGACTCACAACCAACGCCTTAACCGCTCGGCCACCTTGCCGTATTCATGTCTGAGATGAGATTGAGTTTGCTTATGACAAGAACAGCGATTTTCCATGACCTCCAATTCTTCTAATATTTACCTGCGCGCTCTGTCATTCTGTACACTTTTCTACACATTTTTGGTGGATGTTCTCTCTCTCATTGGCTCGTCTCACTTACCGCTTGCGGGTATTCTGCCGCGTGCTACCCTATCAATTCTTTTCACGATCTCCACCACAGCTACAGTGTCGCCACTTGCATTATGGTACAAGCCCAAGTTTACCTTTCTTCCTTGCTTGGCCATGATACTGCTATGAATGGTTGTTAGTTTATTTATGGTTAATAATGTGAAATAGACCTTTGGCAGAGTATAATAATACTTACTTTCTGTTAGCTTCTGCATGTTGTATATCCTATCTCGAGTACCAGGAAAGGATCTTTGTCTGTTGAGATCATAGTCAAGACTGTAGACTCTTGCTTAGATTTCTGTGGTTGCAAGGCTGTTGGTGTATTCTTCTGAACCACAACACCTTTTAAAAACTTTTGGTACCAGACACTGCTCTGTTCGCAATTTGCCAAGCTTCCCATTAGATTCCTCGAATTTCCACCCGGGTCAGCCGTTCTGAGAGATAAGATAATGGGCCGCCCCTACCACTTATTGTCAGACTGAAATAATGAAACAACTGAACACTGAAGCCATCAAGTTGTCTGGATTGATGGACCAAACCTCAAGTCCAAGCTTAAATGTTAATCTGAGCCTGTCCAGAAGGTTGATCTCTTTGCAATCTGGTAATCATGGTGAACGTGTCCCGGGAATGAGTATATGGTTTTTGGGCTCAAAAGACGGGAATGTACACTTAGCCCTTGAGGCAGTACCTTTTACAATCGACCAAGTTCATACTGGCCTTACAAATAACCAAACACGGGAAACCACTCTAGATGACGCAATCCAGCACATCATGTGGCAGGTCCAAGCCCAACTTGTGATACGTCCCATTCTTACCCTCCGAGTCCTTCAAAACACCGTGGAATAGGATAATTTGCTTGATCTCTACAACGCTCTTTCTTGCTGTGGTTATGCATCTAGGAATGGGCCCTGGAAGGATGCACTAATTGCTTTCAATTTTGACCCTTGCCACAGTCTAAAGTTACGAATTTACCAAACAATCACGTTGGAGGTGTCCTACGATCCTGTATTAGCTCCACCATTTGCCAAGTCTATAGGAGGTGGACTACAACTTCCATTGCCCTACTTTGGGACAAAAGGCGACTTGAATTGACATATATTCACTAGGAAGGCCTTTCACACTGAGAGCAACATATGGCAACTATGTGACATCGCAGACTTTCAGCTAAGAAGGATTATCTCAACGGGAGCTCTTAGTGATCGAGCTTGTCTGAAGACTGGCTTCTACCACAATGGTACCCTGGCCAAGTTAAAGACTATCATGCACGACAAATTGGTATGCCTACGAGGCGGCTCTTGTCCTTTAGATCACGACTACGACTGCTTGCTTAATATTCCAGACATGTATGAGCCAGCTGAGGGTCCTAAACTGTGGAGCATCCTGCCCATTGGACCAGTATACAGTCAAAAGGGGGTATTCCTCGGGCCTATGATTGCAGAGCTTGCAACTTCAAGTGACCTGCTGTGTGATCACGTTGATGGCAGATGTCAAGATATTCCTAGCCAGAAACTTGATTTATTGTAGGGAGACATCGGCTCATAAAGGAATTTTGTTTGCTGGAGTACACACCTTGACAACTTCTAAAGGACATTCAATTGAACATTGATACTTGTAATCTGTCCTTCCGATACTGCATTACCGGCATGGAAACGGCCATATAAAAATAACCAGGATTGTGTAATAAGTTTATAAAATCTTGAGGGAGCTTTATCATAACTCTTGTGGAAGATATCGTTGCCTCAGGCTGTTGAACTTCCCGTCACATCTCTACTGCCGTTTCCGGCATCGTTGACTGATTTGGTAGACCATGGATTTGCATGTAACGTCTCTCTTCGTTCAAATCAGAGCCCAGGTGTCAAACCCATACAGCAGGAGTAACAGCGACGATAGGAAATATTAGACAGATGATGATGGGCGATGGGGAGGTGATGATGAGTAATGGTCTGTTGTGTCGGAAGATAATAAACCCGCACTCCGCCAGGCTGGACAAGCATCCCTTACGTTATCCTCCTCAATGTCCTTGATTAAAGCAGATGATGGAGTAAGTTTCTCCACCCACAATACCGGGAGTCAAAATACTATACGATCATCTTCAATTATAATCGTTGTTCCCATTTGTCGGCACTGATCACCCTTAAAAGGCCCCATCTTCCCTGTACCGCAACATGCCAGAAGAGCACGACAAAGCCACCGAGCTTTTTCACCAAATTACCAATCATTTCGAGCCTTTGCAAGCGCCTGACAATGATTACAAGTCAACAACTCTTATACGTCTCATGCATGAGGAGGTCTTTGTCAAAGACGAGTTTCTGACCCTTTTTTTCACTCATATCGAGCACGATCGACTCGGAATCGCGGAAGACAAGGCAATCAGTCTATCTGAGAGCCTATCAGGTTTGGTCGGCTTTCAAGGATGGACTGCTGAAGAACAATACACCCTTGATCAAAGTTTGGTCAGGTTTGCCAGATATCTTATAGATAATTTCTTCTTACCGCGTATGTTTCTGATACTTAGCTGAACTATAAGGTACTTAATGTTTCTTTAGTTAAGCCATTGGCCGGGAAAACTCCTCAACCTACACCAGTATCTCTTTCTTGTGTTAATTTATCAGCGCCAGCTATTGGCACCTCACAGCGTCTCTCGAATCTACTGCAGAGCTGCTTACAGCGTGATCGATATCGATGTGTTATAACCCGAAAATTCGACGTTGAAGAGGGTGAAAAACGATACAAAACTGATGGAGAGAATGTAAAAGATGATGATGGCAATTCCTTATTACCAGAAGGTAATAACATGACTTATCTCGAAGTGGCGCATATCATTCCTCATTCTTTTATGTCTCTCAGTGATATTGAAGGAGGGCCTAATCTGGTATGCCAATACTTTATCTCTCGATATAATTTATACTAACACCCTTACTAACACACTTTCCAGACTGGGCGAAAACAAATAGCTCATATGATTTTGAAAATGTTCAACCCTGGTGCTGTTCATCTTATCAGTGGCACTGATATTGATCGACCAACGAACGCATTCAGCTTGACTCATGACCTTCATAGGTTGTTTGGAAATTTTGAAATTGCGTTTGAACCAGTCCAGGATTCACAATACACATATAAGATCGACTACGTAAAAACTAGACGCATATTTCGAAGCCACAATCTTCCTGTTACCCGCACACTCTTTATCACCCCTGACAGAAGTATCGAGCCGCCTTCTCGCCAACTATTGGAGGTGCATCGTGCTATCGCACACATCCTTCATCATAGTGCTGCGGGTGATTATATCGATAGATTGATTCGAGATATGGAAGATTTGCAAGGGGAAGAAGTATGCCCAAACGGATCTACACGCCTTGATGAATACGTTCATTTCAAGATTATGTCTCAGTTTGACGGAATGATCATTTGTTAAGGATCGCAAGCTATTAGTGAGGCCATTTATCATGAATCATTCATAATGAGTATATGAATACTCTGTGCCTCTGACATCTCTCTTTCCTGGTCACTAAGTAACTATAGCGGGGTTGAAAGCGGAAAGCCGAACAACGAATCCGAGCGGGAGTGAAGAACGATAAGAAGGTGACATTCTGCCGGCAGATTACCCCACCCATCGCAAATGGAAATCGGCCCAATGGCCGTACACCCTCTCACCGCCTGCCTCCGCACATTTTTCTAATCGGATGAGGGTGCCATTTCCACACGAGCATCAACACTTTGAGTTATTCTAGGCAGCTTGCAAAGCAGTTCAAAATGCCCTTCCTCACGAACTTTACCCTCCCCAGCTCGGCACAGAAGCTCGACGTGCCTGAGCACTCCGACGCTGCGTTGTTCCTTGTCTTCGTGTCCTCCGAGGACCCCGCGACGCGACAAGCCTGGTGCCCGGATGTCCGTGCTGCCTGGCCCACGATCACGGCAACCTTCTCCGGGGAGGACAGCCCCAACCTGGCAGTGATTGAGGTGGGGCAAAAACCTGAGTAAGTCTCCTTGTTCCTGGCAAGGGACTCTGCTGACTGATTATGTAGATGGAGGGATCCACAGAATGTCTACCGGAACCACTGGGACGTGAAGTGCATTCCGGCCCTGGTGCGGTACCAACGAGTCCAGGGTGAGGTGATGGAGACTGGAAGATTGCTGGAGGGGGAGATTCTCGACCAGGAGAGACTGCAGAAGTTTATCAGCTCGTCGCGTTGATGATGCAGTACGGAATCCTCACGGCTGAAAGTCCGGCGGGATTTTCTCCGCCTTTTCCGCTCCTTGGGGATGCTTCGACTTTAATGGATGTGGTTTGGGAGACGTGGATTAATGATATACCTATGATTGCGCCACAATTTCTCTGATTATACCGACGGATTTGCCGGTCCGAAATCCGACTTTCTTAATTCTACGTACACATATAAATGTATTGCGAGCGATGATGAAATGGATACGAATTACCTTTGAGTCCCAACACTCAACTCCGTACCGGCGTGAGAATGGCCAAATCTGTCTTAATCACCGGCTGCAGCGATGGAGGCCTTGGGGCGGCCATGGCCCGGGTCTACCATGCTAGAGGCTTCCGGGTCTTTGCGGCGCTCCGCAACCAGGCCAAGGCTGGATCTTTGGCTGGGATCGACGGCATAGAACTTATCGAACTAGAGGTCACGTCGGTTGAATCGATTCAGCAATGTGCTAAGACTGTCGCGAAACACACCGGAGGGACCCTCGATGTCCTCGTCAACAATGCGGGTGTCAATGCCGTCGTGCCGCTACTCGATGCATCCCTCGACGACGCCAAAAGGGTATACGACGCAAATGTTTGGAGCGTTGTTGCCATGGCACAGGCATTCGC